AACCTACCATTGCCTAAATTAACCTACCATTGTCTAAATTGACCTACCATTGCCTAAATTAACCTACCATTGCCTAAATTAACCTACCATTGCCTAAATTTACCTACCATTGCCTAAATTAACCTACCATTTGCCTAAAATTAACCTACCATTGCCTAAATTAACCTACCATTACCTAAATTAACCTACCATTGCCTAAATTAACCTACCATTGCCTAAACTAACTTACCATTGCCTAAATTAACCTACTATTGCCTAAATTAACCTACCATTGCCTAAATTAACCTACCATTGCCTAAATTAACCTACCTTTACCTAAATTAACCTACCATTGCCTAAATTAACCTACCATTGCCTAAATTAACCTACCATTGCCTAAATTAACCTACCATTGCCTAAATTAACCTACCATTGCCTAAATTAACCTACCATTGCCTAAATTAACCTACCTTTGCCTAAATTAACCTACCATTGCCTAAACTAACCTACTATTGCCTAAATTAAACTACTATTGCGTAAATTAACCTACCATTGCCTAAATTAACCTACCATTGCCTAAATTAACCTACCATTGCTTAAATTAACCTACCATTGCCTAAATTAACCTACCATTACCTAAATTAACCTACCATTGCCTAAATTAACGTACCATTTCCTAAATTAACCTACCATTGCCTAAATTAACCTACCTCTACCTAAATTAACCTACCATTACCTAAATTAACCTACCATTACCTAAATTAACCTACCATTACCTAAATTGACCTACCATTGCCTAAATTAACCTACCATTACCTAAAGTATCCTACCATTACTTATATTAACCTACCATTACCTAAATTAACCTACCATTGCCTTAATTAACCTACCATTGCCTAAATTAACCTACCATTGCCTAAATTAACCTACCATTGCCTAAATTAACCTACCATTGCCTAAATTAACCTACCATTGCCTAAATTAACCTACCATTGCCTAAATTAACCTACCATTGCCTAAATGGACTTACCATTGCCTAAATTAACCTACCATTGCCTAAATTAACCTACCATTGCCTAAATTAACCTACCATTACCTAAATTAGCCTACCATTGTCTAAATTAACCTACCATTGCCTAAATTAACCTACCATTGCCTAAATTAACCTACCATTGCCTAAATAACCTACTTTGCCTAAATTAACCTACTATTGCCTAAATTAACCTACCATTGCCTAAATTTACCTACCATTGCCTAAATTAACCTACCATTCTCTAAATTAACCTACCATTGCCTAAATTAACCTACCATTGTCTAAATTAACCTACCATTGCCTAAGTTAACTTACCATTGCCTAAATTAACCTACCATTGCCTAAATTAACCAACCATTGCTTAAATTAACCTACCATTGCCTTAGTTAACCTATCATTGCCTAAATTAACCTACCATTGCCTAAATTAACCTACCATTGCCTAAATTAACCTACCATTGTCTAAATTAACCTACCATTGCCTAAATTTACCTACCATTGCCTAAATTAACCTACCATTGCCTAAATTAACCTACCATTGCCTAAATTAACCTACCATTGCCTAAATTAACCTACCATTGCCTAAATTAACCTACCATTGTCTAAATTAACCTACCATTGCCTAAATTAACCTACCATTGTCTAAATTAACCTACCATTGCCTAAATTAACCTACCATTGCCTAAATTAACCTACCATTGCCTAAATTAACCTACCATTGCCTAAACTAACCTACCATTGCCTAAATTAACCAACCATTGCTTAAATTAACCTACCATTGCCTAAATTAACCTATCATTGCCTAAATTAACCTACCATTGCCTAAATTAACCTACCATTGCCTAAATTAACCTACCATTACCTAAATAACCTACCATTTACCTAAATTAACCTACCATTGCCTAAATTAACCTACCATTGCCTAAATTAACCTACCATTGCCTAAATTAACCTACCATTGCCTAAATTAACCTACCATTGCCTAAATTAACCTACCATTGCCTAAATTAACCTACCATTGCCTAAATGGACTTACCATTGCCTAAATTAACCTACCATTGCCTAAATTAACCTACCATTGCCTAAATTAACCTACCATTACCTAAATTAGCCTACCATTGTCTAAATTAACCTACCATTGCCTAAATTAACCTACCATTGCCTAAATTAACCTACCATTGCCTAAATTAACCTACCTTTGCCTAAATTAACCTACTATTGCCTAAATTAACCTACCATTGCCTAAATTTACCTACCATTGCCTAAATTAACCTACCATTCTCTAAATTAACCTACCATTGCCTAAATTAACCTACCATTGTCTAAATTAACCTACCATTGCCTAAGTTTAACTTACCATTGCCTAAATAACCTACCATTGCCTAAATTAACCAACCATTGCTTAAATTAACCTACCATTGCCTTAGTTAACCTATCATTGCCTAAATTAACCTACCATTGCCTAAATTAACCTACCATTGCCTAAATTAACCTACCATTGTCTAAATTAACCTACCATTTGCCTAAATTACCTACCATTGCCTAAATTAACCTACCATTGCCTAAATTAACCTACCATTGCTAAATTAACCTACCCATTGCCTAAATTAACCTACCATGCCTAAATTAACCTACCATTGTCTAAATTAACCTACCATTGCCTAAATTAACCTACCATTGTCTAAATTAACCTACCATTGCCTAAATTAACCTACCATTGCCTAAATTAACCTACCATTGCCTAAATTAACCTACCATTGCCTAAACTAACCTACCATTGCCTAAATTAACCAACCATTGCTTAAATTAACCTACCATTGCCTAAATTAACCTATCATTGCCTAAATTAACCTACCATTGCCTAAATTAACCTACCATTGCCTAAATTAACCTACCATTACCTAAATTAACCTACCATTACCTAAATTAACCTACCATTGCCTAAATTAACCTACCATTGCCTAAATTAACCTACCATTGCCTGAATTAACCTACCATTACCTAAATTAACCTACCATTGCCTAAATTAACCTACCATTGCTTAAATTAACCTACCATTGCCTAAATTAACCTACCACTACCTAAATAACCTACCATAACCTAAATAACCTTCCATTACCTAAATTAACCTACCAATACCTAAATTAACCTACCATTGCCTAAATTAACCAACATTACCTAAAGTATCCTACCATTGCCTAAATTAACCTACCATTGCCTAAATTAACCTACCATTGCCTGAATTAACCTACCATTGCCTAAATTAACCTACCATTGCCTAAATTAACCTACCGTTGCCTAAATTGACCTACCATTGCCTAAATTAACCTACCATTGCCTAAATTAACCTACCATTACCTAAATTAACCTACCATTACCTAAATTAACCTACCATTACCTAAATTAACCTACCATTGCCTAAATTAACCTACCAGTGCCTGAATTAACCTACCATTGCCTAAATTAACCTACCATTACCTAAATTAACCTACCATTGCCTAAATTAACCTACCATTGCCTAAATTAACCTACCATTGCCTAAATTAACCTACCATTGCCTAAATTAACCTACCATTGCCATAATTAACCTACCATTGCCTAAATTAACCTTCCATTACCTAAATTAACCTACCATTACCTAAATTAACCTACCATTGCCTAAATTAACCTACCATTGCCTTAATTAACCTACCATTGCCTAAATTAACCTACCATTGCCTAAATTAACTTACCATTGTCTAAATTAACCTACCATTGCCTAAATTAACCTACCATTGCCTAAATTAACCTACCATTGCCTAAATTAACCTACCATTGCCTAAATTAACTTACCATTGCCTAAATTAACCTACCATTACCTAAATTAACCTACCATTGCCTAAATTAACCTTCCATTGCCTAAATTAACTTACCATTGCCTAAATTAACCTACCATTGCCTAAATTAACCTCCATTGCCTAAATAACCTACCATTACCTAAATTAACCTACCATTACCTAAATTAACCTACCATTGCCTAAATTAACCTACCATTGCCTAAATTAACCTACCATTGCCTAAATTAACCTACCATTGCCTAAATTTACCTACCATTGCCTAAATTAACCTACCATTACCTAAATTAACTTACCATTGCCTAAATTAACCTACCATTGCCTAAATTAACCTACCATTGCCTAAATTAACCTACCATTGCCTAAATTAACCCACCATTGCCTAAATTAACTTACCATTGCCTAAATTAACCTACCATTGCCTAAATTAACCTACCATTGCCTAAATTAATCTAACATTGCCTAAATTAACCTACCATTGCCTAACTTAACCTACCATAGTCTACCATCCTTAAGTCTAACTAGAGGAAAACAACATTTGCAAATTTACAGGTAAACTTCGAAAAATTTCTTTGGTGAGAGGGAGATTACCATGAAAAATGTGACGCATAAACTGAAACACTAGCCACTAGGACAGTTTTGTCCCGGGATGCGACCCACACTAACACTCAGGTACCCATTTTACTGTTGGGTGAACATAGACAACCGGTGTAAGGAAACCCTCGCCTGGAATCGAATGCGGACACTCGCTCGAGAGCTTTACCTACCAGGCGACGGGGCCTGTGTGTTTTTACCGAACAACAAAATTCTTGCCAGGAGTCTATGGAAACAGCAAGAAGCCACCAGGTGCCAGACACTAGAGTAACAGGAAGTAAAGGTAATAATCCTTTTAGTGGAACAGATGAAATTGAGCATTCACTGCCTTGAGGAGGTACATAATTGATCATGTGATAGTTGAGAACTCTGCTAACAGCTGCAGTAAACAGGTGTGTGGATGTTAGTCAGGTGCGTTGGGTCGTGTCCTGGGAAAGATCCTTAGTACCACAACGGAAATAAGGCGCACTGCTTGACTTTCTCAGATAATTCCAAGCTTGTAACTGTTCGGAGTTAATCTTAAAACAATCTTTGTTTCATTTAGTGCTTCTCCTACTTCAGGTTTCCCAGCGCCGAGAGTAACGTGGTGGCATGGTACGAATCTGCTAGATAACACCAGTTACCTTGTGAGCAGTAGCAGCAGCAGCAGCAGTAGCAGCAGCAGTAGCAGCAACGTCAGTGATGATCTACCATACACTGTGAACGACGTGATGGTAGGACCCCTCACAAGGGACCTGGTACAAGTGCCTTTCACTTGTACGTCAGAAAATAACCCGCTCTCTCCTCCTATGGACTGCACCATCCATCTTAAAATACACAGTCAGTATTACCTGCGGTGTGTGTGTGTGTGTGTGTGTGTGTGTGTGTTTGTGTGTGTGTGTGTGTGTGTGTGTGTGTGTGTGTGTGTGTGTGTGTGTGTGTGTGTGTGTGTGTGTGTGTGTGTGTGTGTGTGTGTGTGTGTGATTTGACAAAAACACTATATAAATAACTAAGTAAATTATATATATACTTTATTAAATTTTATGTTATAAATTTTGTAATAAGTACAGACCCTCACAACGTTATATTTTACATTACTTCTAGGAACATTAACTTCTACAGGTTCTATCAACTTTTTATTAAGATATGAAAAACCTCGAGAAATTTCACGTCTCAGAATATTTGATTTTCTTACATGACATGGAAAGTAACGTCTTTATATTCTCAAATATAAAATAAAATAGAAAATATAATCCAGTTAACTCTTTTAAATACCCATTAAATTGTCTCCCAGATCACCTCACTAACTGCACCTGGTGTAGCAGACTCTTGCCCAGGTGTCTAGGTTAAGATATTTGCTGGGCAGGTCCAACTAGATGTTCTCACTAAGCGGAAGTATGGTTGTCACATTGACACTGAGACAAAGTTAAGAGTGTTAGTGGCATTTTAATCATTCCTCGAGATAGATGTTATAGAGAGAGTGACCTAATTCTTCTCGCTAAACTTGTAACATAGCGTTATTTAAAGACACTAAACTGGTAACAAGGCGTTATTTAAAGATACTAAACTGGTAACATAGCGTTATTTGAAGACGCTAAAATGGTAACATAGCGTTATTTAAAGACACTAAACTGGTAACATAGCGTTATTTAAAGACACTAAACTGGTGGCATAGCGTTATTTAAAGACACTAAACTGGTGGCATAGCATTATTTAAAGACACTAAATTGGTAACATAGCGTTATTTGAAGACACTAAATTCGTAACATAGCGTTATTTAAAGATACTAAACTGGTAACATAACGTTATTTAAAGACACTAAACTAGTAACATAGCGTTATTTAAAGACGCTAAAATGGGAGCATAGCTCTATTTAAAGACACTAAACTGGTGGTATAACGTTATTTGAAGAGTTACACTAAACTTCTTCAGTAAATTCTACTTCAGAACCACTTAAATAATTATTGTACCATTATCAGAACAATCACTGAACACTTGTGACAGTTTCAGAACAGCCAATGAACACTTGTGACAGAATCAGAACAATCACTGAACACATGTGACAGTATCAGAACAATCACTGAACAATGTGACAGTATCAGAACAATCACTGAACAATGTGACAGAATCAGAACAATCACTGAACACTTGCGACAGTGTCAGAACAATCACTGAACAACACTTGCGACAGTATCAGAACAATCACTGAACACTTGTGACAGTATCAGAACAATCACTGAACACATCTGGCAGTATCAGAACAATCACTAAACACTTGTGACATTATGAGAACAATCACTGAACACATGTGACAGTATCAGAACAATCACTGAACACATGTGACAGTATCAGAACAATCACTGAACACTTGTGACAGTATCAGAACACTGAACACTTGCGAGAGTGTCAGAACAATCACTGAACACTTGTGATAGTATCAGAATAACCACTGAACACTTGTGACAGTATCAGAACAATCACTGAATAGTTGTGACAATATCAGAACACTGAACACCTGTGACAGTATCAGAGCAATCACTCAACACTTGTGACAGTATCAGAACAATCACTGAGCACTTGTGACGATATCAGAACAATCAGTGAACACATGTGACAGTATTAGAACAATCACTGAACACTTGTGGCAGTTTCAGAACAATCACTGAATACTTGTGACAGCGTCAGAACAATCAATGAACACTTGTGACAGTATCTGAACAATTACTGAACACTTGTGACAGTATCAGAACAATCAACGAGCACTTGTGACAGTATCAGCACAATCACTGAACACTTGTGACAGTATCAGAACAATCACTGAACACTTGTGACAGTATCTGAGAAATCACTGAACACTTGTGACAGTATCAGAACAATCACTGAACACTTGTGACAGTATCTGAACAATCACTGAACACTTGTGACAGTATCAGAACGATCAATGAGCACTTGTGACAGTATCAGAACAATCACTGAATACATGTGACAGTATTAGAACAATCACTGAACATTTGTGACAGTATCAGAACAATCAACGAGCACTTGTGACAGTATCAGCACAATCACTGAACACTTGAGACAGTGTCAGTCACTAAGTACTGACTGTACTGCTAAAGCTATCACTAATGCCTGGTCTCAGACCGGGCTGCGGGGTCGCTGACCATCGACACTCTCACCAGTAATTCGTTGTATTAGTCTCTGTTGCTAAAGCCTCGCATCACTGCCCTCTGAGTCAGTTAACATTACACTAAACATTATAGGAAAGCAATATAACACCACCTAACATCACTCAGCCACCAGAGTACTTTTAAAAGAGTTTAATCGTCTCACAGACTAAGACAGTGGGATGTTACTATGACACCAGACTTCAACAGTGATTATTTGACTGTGTATTGTCAAGTCCGCTTGTTGGCTCCATATTTTCTGCTCCTGCTACCAAAGTGTTTATTCCCTGGGTGTGCTGTTATATTTATTGGCTTTCCGGAAAGTTTTAATTAGTTCATTTTTGTTAAACACACAGAAGTCTAATCTTTCCTAACTTAACTTATCGCAAGAAATGTAATCAAAGAAAGTTGCTTGAAGTATTATGTTAGAAAACGATTTATGCTTAAATATGACACTTCAATTAGTGGAAATATAAACACAAATGCAGTATAATGTGAACACTGCAGAAGGTCTACAACTTGTCCAATACCCCTGCCAAGCTACCCAAGACTCTATAACCCCACCCGGTAGATCATCAGATGCAGCATTCTCCACCTGACCTCAACATTCTGAACATGACTATAAATACTCCCGTACCTTCCAACCCCAGGTAGATCCGTGTGTGACTTGAAAAAGCCCACTGTGTGGGTGAAACGTTGTCAATAAAGGATCACATTATACTGCATTTGTGTTTATATTTCCATTGTGTCGGTATTTTATACCATTTATTTCCACTTCAATTAGTATTACAGCTGCAGTACTGAAGTAGTTATCCCTTTGGTTATCAGCTTGTCTATAAATCCCTTTAATTATCCTCTTCACTCTACGCTCTATATTCTGATCCGTTAATTCCTCTACGTATCCTTCTCACCATTTTACCCTTACCTCATTTATCATTACCTCTCATTATCTTCCACCTCTTTTGACAAGTTCTTTTATGTATTAATCTTAGTTATCCTTCTTCTAACCCCATTGTTTATCCTCTTATCCACTTCTTCCTCTACCTGTCCTTCTTTTCATCATATGGTTTGTGACAGTGGCACCACAGATGGTGGAGTTAACGAAGGCAGCAACAGTGCAGGCAGGAGTGGAGGAGCGTCTTCATTGTAAGGCCCGGGACGCCTTCCCTGAAGCCAACATTACCTGGACGCTGGACGGCAAGAAACTTAATTTTACTACAAAAGAGGTAAAGCTACTCACAGGACTTATTATGGTTACATTCCTGGAGGCTCTCTCAACACTTCAGGCAAGTCCTTTTGTACAAGCTACCACTCTTCACCTTTGAATAAATTGGTGCTTCTGTGTTAGCCAGCTGTTGTGTTGGCATCCAGAGCAGGGCATGATGTTCGAACACGTCTCCTTACACCTGCTGCTCCTGTTCTCCATGCAGTAAATAGGTACCTGGGAATAAGTTGGAAGTTGTGGATGGTCTTCTGAGAAGGTAAAGACATTTGGGTATGTCTACCTGTGGTTGCTGCCTCTGTTCGCATAACACTAAAATTTATATCTTGGTGTGAGTTGACTGCCGTAGTTCACATTCTAGGCGGAAGGAGACATATGGGTATTTTTTCTTATATATGCCATGCAATTTAAAAAAAAATATGTGAAACCATAAATTTTAGAGAATTATGCATATTTCGACGATTTAGAGCAGTATTAAGCATTTTCTGACAGTGAATTACGAATTTAGACTGATCAAGCCGAAGGAGAAGTACACTACAGTCCGTGGAGAGGCTATTTTTCATTTTCACAATCACAGGGCAAGTCTTTATATTGACGAGGTTTCTCTCAAGGTTTAATTCTATCATATCTATAGAATAATATAAAGATTAATTGTTAAATATATATAGACTGTTGAGCTTGTAATGGGAGGAAGGTCAGATCACGATGACAGGACACGGGAGGTCATGTTACAGGTAGTGTCTTGTGGGTGGACCAATATTTGGGAATATTATCCTGACAGTGCCTTGATGCAGCTTGACAGGATTGCAGGATGACAGCTGCTTCAAAGCACTTCTCCCTATTACTGTCATCCTCTGTTAGAAGGAGTCTGGCCTGTTCTCTCTGCATATGATACATATATTATTTGTGTTATGGATCATGCGTGTGACATCATGGCTACGTGCAGTCTCACGCATTTAATACTTGTACATAACACAGGAGATGATGTCTATGGAGGCTGTGCTATTGGAATATCCATGAAAGTTGTAGTCTGTGATGTCACTGACAATTTTGGACATTTTTACTGTGGCGTAGATGTGTATTTTCTGAGAGCAAGTGCGATGTGGAGAGCTGTTTGAGCAGCGGGAAGAAGACTGAGTCTATCAACCTGGTGTTTTCCTGCTGCTTGACACTATCTTGTGTCTCGTGCCGCAAATGAGAAGGAAATGAAGTGAATCTGAGAGAAGAGAAAGTGTCTCAAATGAAATAATATTCTTCTTGAGGATTCTCGCTGGTAAAAATTCCAGGAATTCTGAGGAAGAAGCTTATAAGTCTGGCACAAACTCTCCTGCTTCCTGGTCACATCTTGATAATGTTATAAAATACATGTGGAACAGTTAGGTATCTTTTTATCTTGAAACGTTTCGCGTGAGCAGCAAGCTTCATCAGTCAAATACAGAGGTAGCAGGTGTAGTAGCAGTGAAATAAAGACGATGGAATCAGTCCATCAACCTTGGAGAGAAAAGTAGTTGAGGTGGTCAGTCCGTCAGTCAGGAGAAGAGTTCAGCTCTATGTTCTGGAACAATATGATGCTGAAGCATGAGAATGGAATAAGATTTAAATACTGTCGAAAGTGAGGTGGAAGATCTGGAAGACATAGCAGGGGACGGTGTTCACTTGTAGAAGCAAGAAGGCAAGAACTGAGGTGTACTATAGCAGGCTTAGGGACTGACCCACCTCAGACTATTTCTCCAAAATTGATGGACTGATTACATCACTTTTACCTGGCCACTACAGCTGCCTCTGTACTTGACTGATGAAGCCTGAAACCTAGGTCAAACTTTTCAACAATAAAGATAAGAACATAAGAAAGAAGGAACACTGCAGCAGGACTACTGACCCATACGAAACAGGTCCATGTCCCCCCTCCCCGGGATTAGCCCAGTGACTCACCTAACCAGGTCACTTCCACTTAAGGAAGGAGCACCGCATCAGACCTAGCAGCACAAGCTAGTCAGATCCAACTCACACGCACCCACACCTACTCATGTATTTATCTAACCTATTTTTAAAGCTACACAACGTAACACATACATCTAATTATTCATCATGATAGTGAAAGGGAGGGGGTGGTCAGAGGGGGAGAAAGGGAAGGAGAGAAAGAGGAGGGGGTGGTCAGAGGGGGAGAAAGGGAAGGAGAGAAAGAGGAGGGGGTGGTCAGAGGGGAAGAAAGGGAAGGAGAGAAAGAGGAGGGGGTGGGGGAGGAGGAGCAGCTCCTCACCGAGATTTAAAAAAAAAATAATTATTTTTTTTTGTAAAAGTGTATTTATAAACCATACCAAGGGTGGAATTTGATCCCGCGGTCAGAGTCTCAAAACTCCAGACGGTCGCGTGAGCCACTGGATGGTGGTATGGTATGGTATGGTATGGTATGGTATGGTATGGTATGGTTTGTTTGCAATCGTGTCATTACGATTTCGTGAGTCATGTATTTATAATTTAGGATGAGACTGTAAATGTTTTATATTGATTATTTGTCTTGAACACAAAATACAATATATGTTAATACTGACGTAGGTGCACATAAATACTGGGCAGTGCACAAGTGTTGCTGGTGAGTGCACAAGTGTTGCTGGTGAGTGCACAAGTGTTGCTGGTGAGTGCACAAGTGTTGCTGGTGAGTGCACAAGTGTTGCTGGTGAGTGCACAAGTGTTGCTGGTGAGTGCACAAGTGTTGCTGGTGAGTGCCAGAAAAAAGCCGTGACTTACTGAACCCACGACACTGGAAGGTTTAGCCTGAGCCGAGCATCACAGTGAGTGGACTTCTGAACAACGGCAGAAGGTAAGAATTACATTTAGTTAATCAGTTCATTTGTTCTTTTTTGTTGTTGCAGATGGTGTTAAGATTACCATACAGCTTCTCTAGTTGTTCCATTATTTCTATTGTCTTTTCTATTGCTGCAGTGCTGGATGACAGTGCTGACTGTGTCAAGACTGTCAGATGAGAAATTTATGGCTGAATGTCTCAAGAAGACGGTCAAATTTCCTCAGAAAATCTTGGTGTGGGAAGCCATTTCCATTCATGGAACAAGTCGTTTGCACATTGTTGATGGTACCATCAACCAGGTTAAGTACACAGAAGTGCTACAACGACAATTACTGCCTCAGGTAAAGGACTGGTATTGTGATGGACGTTGGATATTCCCACAAGACTCGGCACCATGTACACGGTAAAACCTGTAATGACGTGGTGCACAATATAGCGCTGAGCTGATCCACTGGGCTGGAAATTCCCCCAACATAGACAACATTGAGAGTTAATCTGAAGGATCAAATACACGTAGTTCCCATACGACCGAAGTGCAAATAACAGACCGCCTTACTAAGACTTACTTTCTGCCAGAATCATGAACACATATGTTAAAGCACTTGTGGATGCTAGGGCTCCTCATGCCAAATGTTAATCAATGTAAAACAGTTGACCTGTTCTGGTGTATCAAAATATATTCAGTAACAGTCAGTGAAATTGGTTGAATTTACGTGGAAAAATATAGAATAATAATGCCAGTAATGTATATTTCAGTTCCTGCGCAGTTTGAGAAAATTATCCTGGTATTACCTAACACCAGGTATTACCTAACACCAGGTATTACCTAACACCAGGTATTATATAACACCAGGTATTATATAACACCAGGTATTACCTAACACCAGGTATTACATAACACCAGGTATTACCTAACACCAGGTATTACATAACACCAGGTATTACCTAACACCAGGTATTACATAACACCAGGTATTACCTAACACCAGGTATTACATAACACCAGGTATTACCTAACACCAGGTATTACGTAACACCAGGTATTACCTAACACCAGGTATTACATAACACCAGGTATTACATAACACCAGGTATTACATAACACCAGGTATTACCTAACACCAGGTATTACATAACACCAGGTATTACATAACAACAGGTATTACATAACACCAGGTATTACATAACACCAGGTATTACATAACACCAGGTATTACATAACACCAGGTATTACATAACACCAGGTATTACATAACACCAGGTATTACATAACACCAGGTATTACATAACACCAGGTATTACATAACACCAGGTATTACCTAACACCAGGTATTACATACAACGGCATCATATATCACGCGGAAATCTTTAAGAGACCATTATAGAAAATAGCAGACCACTGATGGTGAGGATGTTGTGGTTTGTGAGGCTGTGGTGCTGAGCCGGAGCTGAGGACACTGATTGTGAGGATGTTGTGGTTTGTGAGGCTGTGGTGCTGAGCCGGAGCTGAGGACACTGATGGTGAGGATGTTGTGGTTTGTGAGGCTGTGGTGCTGAGCCGCAGCTGAGGACACTGATGGTGAGGATGTTGTGGTTTGTGAGGCTGTGGTGCTGAGCCGCAGCTGAGGACGCTGATGGTGAGGATGTTGTGGTTTGTGAGGCTGTGGTGCTGAGCCGGAGCTGAGGACACTGATGGTGAGGATGTTGTGGTTTGTGAGGCTGTGGTGCTGAGCCGCAGCTGAGGACACTGATGGTGAGGATGATGTGGTTTGTGAGGCTGTGGTGCTGAGCCGCAGCTGAGGACACTGATGGTGAGGATGTTGTGGTTTGTGAGGCTGTGGTGCTGAGCCGGAGCTGAGGACACTGATGGTGAGGATGTTGTGGTTTGTGAGGCTGTGGTGCTGAGCCGGAGCTGAGGACACTGAGTGTTCACTGCAGCTCATGAAGTCACTGTGATCATTGTTGACACTCCTTCCCGCGGACTTCAGACCCGCTCTCTGGCCTGAATTCTCAACACCTGAAACAATATTCACGACGTCAACAAATGAAAATATACGGAATAATAGTTACATAAAAATTATTAAAGAGTACTTGACATTTTATTTTATAATAATTTATGGTAAATTATATTGCCAAAATATTGGTTAATGCTCGTAAATCGTACTTAGTTTTAGTTAGTAAGTAAGTAAGTAAGTAAG